TGAATTTTCTGTTTGTTTTTATTTTTTCGCCGTTTTTTACTTTTTGTACTTGTGTTTCAGCATAAATAAGCTCCCTTTGTAAGTCAGATATCAATTTGTACAGCGTCGCACGACTTCTTCCAACTATGGCTTTAAGGCGGCGATGCCAAGCTTCCACACTGTTTTGCGTTCTTGGAAAAACTTTCGATCTAGGGTCATCRAACACGGACCAAAATTGTGTTAAACATTTAGACTGTGACTTTTTACCAAAAACGTAATTTTTTTCAAACAATTTTTAAAGTTTTTGCAAATTGCTGTCGTCAAATGAATTACGCAAACTTGTGTAATACTCTGAGATTTCGCTATGAGGAAACAGTGCTAAGCTTTTAAGCATTCGTACTTGGATTGTAAACTGCTCGCTGCTGCCATATTTGCGGCTTAGTCTGAAAATATTTAATAATCATTTTATCTTAAATGCAGGAAGTTGCGGTTAATTTACACTTCTTTTTGAACTTTTCGCCAAATAATTTTCCCGAAGTGGAAGAGGCAACCACTCTGCCGTGCAAATGGGAAACACTCCCTTGCTGCAGAAATAATAGCCATTTCGAAATCACTAATTATACGCGTCGGATTCAGTTGGATACCATAGTTCAATGCGACGTTCTCCAACTCAACAAAAAAAGAAATATACATTGACTTCGATTTTTTGGTCATAAGACAGAATACCAGCAGAACAATTTGCCCTTCTACTCTTCCGTGTATCGAAAATAGCTGCCTCATCATCGTTGGAACAACGTCAAATGTACCGTCCATAATCCAGCAGTCGCTCTCATTTAACAACTGCAGCGAAGATTTTGTTCCAAATATAAGAATGCATTCGCCATCAATAACTTTCTCACTTAAAATAAATAGTTGACATTCCAAAACATAAAGTGATAAAGGAATGTCTATTTCTTCAACACAAGTTGGATCTTTAAAACATTTCAAACTGTTCCGTTGTCTTCTAATTTTTAACTTAAGGGCATTTCTTGATGGCAGATAATCTCTAATTTGTTTTTCTCTCATAGATACCGAACGCTGAATTATTTGGCTAGGCTGCAAAAAATTCGAGCGAGCCATATTTTTAACCAGATTATTTGTTTCTGCTACCGATTTTTTATGCGCACATGGATCATGAGAATGTTCATTTCTTTTTTTTTTCGTATAATATGTTCACAGCCATCAAATTGTGTAACAATACGCACGCTAGATTTGTTTTTAATTCGTTCAGAACAAGTCCAGTTAAATGTTTTCTTATTTTTTCGTTCCAAATAGAAGAAGTAGCCGTCGACGTTTAACATGTATTTTCCTTTATTGGACTTCACCACAGTTATATTTTCCATCATTTTACAAAAATATTTAGCACGTGTTTATTAATAAAATTGCAGTAACACATTGCTTAGTCAGTACATATATATGTATGTATGTAGGTACATAGTAAACTAAATCATTATGGTAGTACAAGAAAGTAAATGAACAACAACAAACAAAGCAGAAACAATAAGAAATACAATCATGCAAAAAACTACTTACTAAGCAATAAAACATATGAKTACAGAATGGCAAAATTCTGTAATTAATGATTAAAAATGCGTGTTGATAACAAAAAAAGTGCGCACTTTGAATTTTGCTATTTAGAATTTCGTTATCCAGAATATTGACTTCCAGAACTTTGATTACCGGTGTTCCGACTTCCGGAATAATGAATGCAGAATTTCCAAAAAAGCAGAATTTTGACCCCAACCCACACAGAATTTATAAGGCACTTGTATGAATGCTCAGTACATTTGTTGCTTAAATTTACTTGTACTTGCATACAACATTTAAAAGATTGTTTGTATGAAAAAAATCATTAAGTACATTTTTTGTGCTAGAATATCATATTTTTAAGTAGATTTGTTTTCTTTGGATCTAAAAAATGTATTCTAAAAATAAAATAATCTCTTGTTATACCATATACATACATACATGGGAAAAGTAAAATGAGTGCAGATTTTTAGATTTTTTCCTCTTAAAAAATTAGTAAATTATAATAAATTTTGTAAAGCTGCCATTTTCTAAGATTTGAATATTTTTAACGATAATAAAGATTTGCAGTCCTCCTTTTTTCTTTGCTTTCAACCACAGAAAACGTCGCATATCTCCAACAGTTTAGAACCTTTTTTGGTAACTGGGAGTAAAAGTGAATAACTAGCTAAAAATTAAATTATATTATTTTTGGAAATACTTTGTGTATATTCCCTAATTGTGTACAAATATATGTATCCTCTAAACTTTAAAGCATTTCATTTCTTTAAAAAGTAAGCCAAAATTCACTTTTGTTTTTAGCCAAGCACAKTAAATGTGCCGCTTAAAGAGAGAAATGTCACATAGAGTACTCGAAAATATCAAAAACTGGATTGCATGTGTTTTTTTTTTTGTTTGAGAAATAAGAATAATTCAAAAGAGCACAGTGATCCACCGGTAAATTTTAGTGCTGTATTAAAAAAATAAATATATATCTATATATAAATATCTTTTCAACCAATTTTTTTGCAAACATTCATTTTCAATAATTTTTTTTTTCATGTAAAATATTAAATATTTTATTCAAAATTTTTATTATTCCAAAAGCACATATTTTTTAAAGATTTTGGGAACTTTTGAAGGGAAAATACTCAAAACTCAGTCATTATGCAGTCATTTCGGGCAGTTCCTCTGAAAAAGCTATCCTTGAATTAACCACAGAACTTCTTACAGAATCATTTGAAGTAAAAAGAAAAAAATGTGTTTTAATATCGTTCAAGAACTTTTAAATTATATCCCGAATACCGGTAAAATTTCACTAAGATGAAATTTGGCAACACAGTATCGAGAAAACCGCGTTTAAAGTTTTAAGTGATAACATTACTGACCTCGAGCACGGAACTTCTCCAGGCTGTATTTCCAAAACTATTTCCCGGTTTAACTGAGAATTAAATAAGACATTAAAAATCGATTAATCCTTTAAATATAGTTGCAAACTATAGACTAAAGAGGCGGTCTATTTACACTATGTATCATTAATGTCGCTTAGTGCGACCTTGACACGTGTTCACAGAATTTTGCCCAGCCAATTGATTGGAGGCATATACTTTTTTTTTAGGTATGAAACTATTTGATGTCTTTAGACTGAGGCTTGGGATTCGGTTTTGACTTTGATTTTACTTTATTTCACATGCCTTTGTCGAGTAAGGCCTAAGCAGCTTTTAAATGGGAGAAATAACTTACGCTCAGTATTTTGCTATTGCCTAACGAAGTGCAAACTTTTTGTTGGTCGTAAAAAGAGATCGTGCTTAGCAATAGTTTTCCCTACCATTAAACTCCTAAGGCTAGTTATATGTATAATTGAGGCAAGGGAACCACGGTACGAATTTATTTCGAAGGCTTTTGATTTTCTCCATGTAAATCAATTATCCTGRCGAAGAAGACAGAATACAAAGTGTAGAAATTACCAAAAGAAGAGGGTATCAAAAATGTTTCAAACTCATCCAGAATGTTCTGCCGATTTTGTTTTTGATTATTTGTGATTATAAGGAAGACTTGCAAAACTGAATGTCAATATATATGTATGTATGTGTGGTTATAAAAAAAAAATATTTCTTGTTTATATAATTTTTTTGTCCATTCTGCACCTCAAGAGAACTTTCATTTGCCCTCAAAACACTTCTTATCAGCTCTTAAGTGTGGTCGAGCCTCCCCTTTTGATTACCGTTACACATATGTATGTACACACATCCATTCAAATGTATATTTGTACTTGCATTAAGCGGAAAAACCAGAATATTTTTATGAAATATGTATTATTAATGTTTTATATACAATGTACATATACATACATACATATATGTATGTGCAACCGACTTGACATTCTAGAATCGAAACGTAAACCACAGAAAGTTCCACAAGCTTTAAACAACAGCATATATTAAGTTTTTAAGAAATTATTGAACTTTAATAGATTGGTTAATAATGAACTTCATTATACATATAATAAAATTATGAGCTACAAGTCCACGATCAAAGTCATATAATATAGCGCCTCCAGTTCAGAGTGCAGTTGTGGTTTTTGTGGACGGCGAAACTCTTAGGAGTAAAAGATAAACTTTGTTGTCTTTTTATATAAGCCGGCTAAAAAACTCCAAAGTTAACTGAAATCCTTTGAGTTTGTTAGATGAAAAGTGCAATGAATACCATTGGTACTTAAACGGAGACATAACATAAGCCATACAACACCTGTGAGTACATTATGCTACATTTATTTAGTTTTGTATTTTTTTTACTCATAATACATTTCTCAAAGTCTTTAGATACAAATTTCATTCAAAACGCAGACTAATTAACATCCTATTTGCGTACCAATTTGACGACGGTATACTTATGGAGCAAAGATAGACTCTGGCGCAACGGTTAAAAATAATTTTCGAGTATCGTTTAACGCGTATTTTGTCAGACTATGTGGGCTCATTGTCGATAGCAGGTAGGAAATAGTTATAATTTTAGGTATACTCTTGCTCATCCTATTGTTTAGTTATTTCTAGTTTTCTATAATTTTTTTATATTTCCAGTGTGGTTTAGCGGAGATGACGCTGGCGCTCCATAGTTTATTGTCATATTCCTATTCTTCCCCAACATTCCAATAATATTTTCCAAAACCAAACGAAAACAAAACAAAAATCAATGGCTTAATAAATTAGAAATTAAAAGACTCATTGTCCGTATTATATGCTCCCCTTTGTATAAACTCTTTTTAATCCAAATTTAATTTATTAAATAAATACTAATTCGATAAATTTAATAATAGATATAAAATTTATATTCAATGAGTACTCAACACTTGACAAGTACACGGTTCGCGAGTACCCACTGCTTGTACAGCACAAATTGTGCTTGCCAATTGGAAACATACAAGTGGGAACAGTTAAATGTCAGATGATTGTACTTCCAGTGAGAAAAATTTATTTTCAATCTGTCAAATAAGCGACAATCAAAGCCGATAAAGAAGCAGGCACCTGGAAAATTCAGTCATTCATTATAATCTGTTTTGAAAAATTTATTTATTAAACCTTTTTTTATAATTCTATTATAATTCGGAATGAGTATATATAGCCTTAGAGGCTTAAATGTGCGTTTCTGCCGGCAGGCCTACATATTGGCACATGTGCGGGCAGGAGTTGTTCCGATGCCGAGCCGCACCAAATTGAGGTTAAGTTTATGTGAGTGCAGTGATCAGCAGCTAAGTAGTAGTCGAGGATATGCAATAAACAACACAGGCGCCACAATTGATGAACTAAATAGAATAAAGCCATATCTTCTTGCAGCCATAACGCCGTTACGCAGTAGTCACAACAACTTATATCAAATGGTAAAAAAGCGTACACTTGAAGCACGTACCAAATTGCAGCGTAACAAATTTCCCAATAATCAAGCATGTGAAGAAGAGAAAAAAATGAAAAGTACAAATGTTTGTAATGACCAAAGTGGCAGTACTGTCTGTGCATCACCATCTCCTGGTCCGGCCGCAACGCGACCATCAACTACCCCATACAACTCTTCATCCCCATCCACTTCCTCAATACCCCCTTGCAAACCACAATATGAAAAACTTGCTAAAGATCCTTGTCCGTCTAAGCCAGAAGTGCAAAATAAAACGGTTAACAAAATTTAGATGAAAAATTAAGATAACAAATTTTAATGAAATTACCTACATAAATTCCTTTTTTTCCGTAATTTTTTTTTTTTAATCTAGACGGGCGGCTCTAGGTGTGGCGTAAAAAATGCTGAATTACTGCAAGCAAAAGACTGCAATATAAGTAAAAGAAAAAATGTAACTTCTGAAAAGAAGCCATGTGACGGTGAAGGAGCTGGTGGCTCAAGTAGTAAAAAGGGTGCGCCAAGTGGCGGTTCGATTATGGGAGATGATGAGGCAACTAGAAAAACTAGAATGTTACTAGCTTTATTGGCGGCGCTAGGCCTAGGTGGTTTGGTATGTAAACAATAAATATGCGTGTGTGTATATTTTATAATATTTAAATTTATTTTTTTTTTAGCTTTTATGGTTATTAACAAGGCGAAAACAAAAGGTCGCCGAYAGCACAGAATGCGGTACAACTGCAGCGATTCCATCTACAGTGCCAGCGACCTCTGCTGAATTGCCAAAACATGTACCATATTTGCTGATCGGAGGTGGTACAGCAGGTTTCTCCGCATTCCGCGCCATTAAATCAAATGATCCGCGAGCGAAGGCGAGTTTAACTACTTACTAAGTGAATTAACAATTGGTGTTGATATTTTTTGTAAAAAGTGATTTATGACAATGACTGCTATTTTTCATATTTTAGGTGCTTATGATAACGAACGAATCGCGTAAACCTTACATGCGTCCACCACTTTCTAAAGAACTTTGGTATTCAGCGGAGAAGGGTGAAGTTACAAAAGATTATCGTTTCAAACAATGGACCGGTGCGGAAAGAAGGTATTTATTTGTATTTATAACTCGATATATTTTCATAATAATTTCCTTGCTATTTATTACATAAAATATAAACCTAACTTTTAATATATTTTATTTGGACTCTTTAGTTTATTCTTTGAACCCGAAGAGTTCTTTGTGGATCCTACAAAACTAATGGAAACTGTAAATGGCGGAATTGCCGTTGCACAAGGGTTCACCGTCAAAAAGATTGATGCAGCCAAACATATCGTAACATTAGCTGATGGTTATGAAATTACTTATGACGAATGTTTGATAGCGACAGGTGTGTAAAAGATTGCAATTACACACATGCACAAATATAAACGCTCATTTAATATATATTTTTTCAGGTTGTGCGCCGAAAAGTCTCGATGTCTTTGCACAAGCTACACCCGGTGTTAAGGAGAAAGTTATGGTGTATCGCAGTCCGGATGATTTTGAACGTTTAAAACGTTATGCCGATGAAAAGAAATCGATTACAATTGTGGGAAATGGCTTTACTGGCAGCGAGTTGGCCTGCTCACTGGCGAACTATGCCAAAGATAAGAAAGTGAAAATTTATCAAATATTTCCAGAATCTGGAAATATGTCAAAGGTGCTACCGGCCTACTTAAGTAATTGGACTACTGCCAAAGTGGAATCAATGGGTGTGTGTGTCATGCCGGAGACTTCTATTAAAAATGCGCAACGCGATGAGTCAGCGCTCAAACTGGTGCTCAATAACGGAAAGAGTCTTTTAACTGATGTGGTGTGTAAATTTGAATGAAATTTGCTCTAGCTCGTGATAGTGGTTGTGTTATTTATTAATTATTGTGCGTAACTTAGGTTGTTGTGTGCGTTGGTTGTGAACCGAATACAAGCATAGCGTTAACCTCAGGCTTGGAGGTCGATAAGAGTTTGGGCGGTTTTGTAGTTAATGCCGAACTAGAAGCTAGACGAAATTTGTTTGTGGTAAGTTTCTGCATAATACATTTCCTAATTTATTTTGTTAATTACAAGAAATTTTTTTATTTTTGAGTATAGGCGGGGGATGCATCCTGCTTCTACGATCCGTTGCTGGGCAGGCGACGTGTGGAGCACCACGATCATTCGGTGGTGTCGGGTAGATTAGCGGGTGAAAATATGGTTGGCAAAAGTGAGTAGAATTGTTTTATTTATTTTTATGTGTTGTATATAATAGAAATTTATTTACAATTTATATAACTACATTCCGATTGCAGAGAAAGCCTATAATCATCAAAGTATGTTTTGGTCCGACTTGGGTCCAGAGGTCGGCTATGAGGGTATCGGCCTTGTTGATGCTTCCTTACCCACAGTTGGTGTATTCGCATTGCCAACACCAAGTCCAGAACGACGTACCGATAATTTAACCGAAACAGCTGTTATGGAGGGTGGCGGCAGTGGCAGTACAGTAACTGTGAATCCGGAAACACCGGACGTTAAGTGTAATCCAAAAGATGCTGACGAATATACGCGTGGTGTTATATTCTATATGAAAGATGATAAAATAGTCGGCATTCTATTGTGGAATCTATTCAATCGTATTGGTTTGGCGCGAACAATTATAAATCAAAATAAGAAATATGACGATTTAAATGAAGTGGCGAAACTTTTCGAAATTCACGCGTAGTTCCGCGCAATGCATTAAACAAATTCGGTAATGTTTAATAATAATTTGGTTAGGTAAAAATGTTTGTTACCTTAGTTAATTACACGTGTAAATTTGCAATGTATAATTAAAAAAAAAAACGAAAAAAAACATCAACTACCTTTAAAACTATGCATTTCGATTGAAATCAACACACACACACACATATGAAAGCAAACACCACCGAAAATGAAAAGTGTGTTGCTTTGTAATTTAAGGACCCTCGTAGCTGCCAGCAGCATCGGTCGTCAAGTCTTTGCCGGAAAAAGCATTTTTAGAAACTTGTTTGGAATGCAAAGTATGCACCCAAATGGTGCACTACTTGCCTAGCATCTAAGCTTTATCCAAAAAAAAGAAAAAAAAAAACGAAGTAAATGATGGTATTTGTACACTGCTTTTATTATAAGAAATCCTAATTAAAACCAAAACACAAAAACAAATACTTAAAAAATATACTTATTTTTTATTTGCACAGTATAGCAAAGTGCACCCTTTATTTTATGCCTTAGGCATAGCTGAAGTATTTTTAAAAATGACCAGGTAGTATAAATATTAAAATAAAATAGAACTGTTGAAAATAAATTTTTATTGTTGTTTTTTTGGCGTTGGTATATAAAAAAACATATTTTTTTAAACCCTTTTTATTAAAACATTTTTTT